AATCCCAGCACTTTGGGAAGCTGAGGCAGGCAGATCACCTGAGGTTGGGAGTTTGAGACCAGCCTGACCAACTGATGAAACCCCATCTCTACTAAAAATACAAAAATATTAGCTGGGCATGGTGGCACATGTCTGTAATCCCAGCTGCTCGGGAGGCTGAGGCGGGAGAATCACTTGAAACTGAGAGGTGGAGGTTACAGTGAGCTGAGATTGTGCCATTGCACTCCAACCTGAGCAACTAGAGTGAAACTCTGTCTCAAAAAAAAAAAAAAAAAAGGAAAAAGAAAAATATCTACTGGGTAAAGCAAAGCACATTGATAACATTGGTGCTATTGGACAGATTGTGTCCCATTTGTATGAAATGAAAAATGATGCATCACTAAAATGGTGTTCTTAATTCCTAATTTGTCCCAAATGCCCTTTGGGACAATTTAGAAATGCCCCAAACCAGATGTCATCTCTCCAAGAGACATGCCTGCAGCAGTTTGATAGATCATTTTTTGTAAAAGGGGGTGCTGTATACTCATTGGTTGTGATTGTTTTAACTGTGCTGTCATGTGTGAAGCTGATCGTGTGTTCTTGCTATAACATAGACATTGAGGTCCATGCCAACATGCTTCCAATCAGACATGCCCATCTCACCACTTTTCAGTCTTTAAAGCTATGTAAACAATTTTCTACAACTTGCCCGAGTGTCTGCTGCAAACCACCATCTAAATGGAGAGCTACTTGGACAATATTTTTTAATTTAAATATGGACTACACTGCTAATTGGTGGCAGTAACCATGTGGAAGCCATTCTGTCCTAAAATCATAGATCCACCCCCAAGAAGTCCTTGTACCATTTTCTGGAAAAGAAAATCGCAAATATTTGGGGGGCTTTAGACATCTTTCACATGCGCAGCATAACCCAATTCTCCGTAATCCAGGAGAATCTATTGTATTAATATCTCACATGTGGAATACATACTGTATGTTTAAATTAGAGCTATCTAATAGTTCTCATATCTGAAATTCTTGGTGGTGGTGATGGAGGGGTGGGATGGGGAGCATCAGGTTCCTGATCCCTGTGCGTACTGATCCTTGCTCATGTGGACGGTTTGTGCGTTTTGTAATTTTGGATTGTGAGCTCTTCTTCAGGGGCTTTCTCCATGGTGATCCAGTGCAGGCTGAGGTGTGTGTTCCTCGGCAGAGGTTTTGCACATGCTTTTGTTGGGATCCTCAGGATTATCACTGGCCTAGGCCACTTTTTATTTTACCTTCTCATTAGATGGGTACACCACACAATAGGGGTTCACCCTGAGCCTCTGGCTTGCAGGAGGTGGGCTATGATGATCTGTTCTCGAGGAGAATGTTTCCACCCTCTCCCACAACCCAACCGAGGCAGAGGCAGACAAGTTTCTTAGTAGTCTCCTTTTGCAGGCGGGATAAATTTTTTCCCTGTTACATTCTTTTACAGAGGGGTGGTCCTTTGAGAGTTTCAGGTTGATGTGGGAGTCTCAGTTCCCATCTCCCCATTCCCACTTAATGAAGGCCCTGGGGCTTCTCCTGAACCATGTGGATGTTACGATCCAAACACCATGCTACTGATAGCCTCCCCTCCCCTCAGGACAGCCAGCTCAGTTCAGAGACTTGGTTCTGCTTTTCAGATCCCTCTGTGTGTTTGACCATGGAAAATTCCTTACTTTCTTGAGAACTCAGCTATGCATTTAGAAAGATATTTGTTATATTTTACTCAGAATTTCTAAGTTTTTAATAACAAAAGATTTTTTCCCAAGATACTTACTCTGCCAAGAACACATCATCACCATCTTCTGACAGAATTAAAATGTCCACTGGTGGGTGGAAGATGCCTGTGTACATTCGAAGAGGAGTAAGGAGAAGGGGCCTCTGGCCTTTAGAAACTTAGAGGTTTTTTTTCTCTTAACTCACTCATAAGCTCCGAGAAGTCTTCTTTCAGTGATTCACTCAATTATCCTTACAGTCATATATCATTCAATAAAACTTAGTAAGTTCGTAGGCTGGACACGGTGGCTCACGCCTGTAATCCCAGCACTTTGGGAGGCCAAGGTGGGCAGATCATGAGGTCAGGAGATCGAGACCATCCTGGCTAACACAGTGAAACCCCGTCTCTACTAAAAATACAAAAAATTAGCTGGGCATGGTGGCGGGCACCTGTAATCCCAGCTACTCAGGAGGCTGAGGCAGGAGAATGGCATGAACCTGGGAGGCGGAGCTTGAAGTGAGCCAAGATGGCGCCACTGCGCTCCAGCCTGGGCAACAGACTCCATCTCAAATAAATAAATAAATAAATAAATAAATAAAACTTAGTAAGTTCATACTTCATCTAGGCTTTCATTTTCTGCAAATATATATTGTATACGGCTTCTGCTATGTGCCGGACAGGTGCTCGTGCCCAGCAAGATCATACTAGATCCCTGTCTTCATGAATGACACAAATATTAATCAGATAATCACATCAATAAGTGTAAAATTTCAAATGTGCTAAGTACCATAAAGTAGATGTGTGTGGTGCTGTGAGATATGTAATGGGGGTTTTGTCCAATTCAGGCTGGAAAGCGCTCATTTGGAGAAGAGAAATTGGAAACAAGAGTGGCTTTCACTAAGTGAAAAGAGGAGTAGTCATTGTTCCAGATATGTAGCAGTATGTGCAAAGACCCTGGGGTGAGGATGAATGACTGAAAAGAAGTGTGGTAAGATGGAAGAAGAATAGAAAACATGGTTTCAGAAAAGACTGAGAGGAGCTAGGGCTAAACCACCAAAGACCTTGTAGTTTGTGTTAAGGAGTTTTGTATTTATCATAACAACCATCTAAAGAGCTTTAAACACTGGAACAACACATCCTAATTTTCTTTCTAATATCCTAGAGATCTTTCTGACTTCAGCAAGGAGAACAGATTTGAGGAGGCAAGAGTGAGAGTAGAGACCAGTTGGGAGGCTGTTACAGTAGACCAGAGGCTATTACCATAGACAGAGTTACTGGTAGCTCAGCCCCAGTTTTGGCTTTGTAGATGGGAAGACATGGGACAGATGTGAGATTTATATAGCAGATAAAATTATTAGGAAACAGCAGAAAGATAGGACAGGAATAATTCCAAAGTTTCAGGTTTACGTAACTGGAGGGAGGGTGGTATTTCTTTACTGAGATAGGGAACACTGGAAGAAGACAAAGTTTGGTGTAAAGGCCATTTGGGTTTTTTTTTTTTTTTTTAACATATGAAGTTTGAAGTGTATTTGAAACATATAACAGGAAAATAGAAAGAGACAATTGGATATTGCATATATGGATCTGGAACTCAGAGAAGAGATCTGGAGATATAAATATATGACTAATTTGCTTGTAGGTAATCATTTAAGTGGTAGGCCTAGATGAGATTTCCTAGGGAGAGATTATAGCCTGTCCCCTGGACGTGAAGGTTATTGATATGACCTTAAATGGGAGCTGTTTGTTGCTGAAATGGGATAAGAAGCTTGGACTAGGATGTAGAAAGAATAGGAAGTGAGGAAATGGAATCAGTGAGTATAGATAACTCTGTTTTGTTTGTTTGTTTGTTTGTTTGAGACGGAGTCTCGCTCTGTCGCCCAGGCTGGAGTGCAGTGGCGCAATCTCAGCTCACTGCAAGCTCCGCCTCCCGGGTTCTCGCCGTTCTCCTGCCTCAGCCTCCTGAGTAGCTGCGACTACAGGTGTCCACCACCATGCCCGGCTAATTTTTTGTATTTTTAATAGAGACGGGGTTTCACCGTGTTAGCCAGAATGGTCTCAATCTCCTGACCTCGTGATCCGCCCACCTCGGCCTCCCAAAATACTGGGATTACAGGCGTGAGCCACCGCGCCCAGCCTAGACAACTCTTTCAAAAAGTTTGCCAGTGAAGTTACATAAGGCTTTAATTGATGTTTAAAGGAAATGTGATTTCATTGTGATTGGAAGGCAGAATGTTTTAAAACAGAGTGTCCGTGGAAAAATATTAAAATGGTTTCTTGATAATGAAAAGGTAGCCAAGATGGAGACATTAGCCAGCACAGAGAAGACTCAAAGACAGTGAACCAAGATTGAATTGTAATCATAGCTAACATTTATTACAGTCTCACTGCTGTGCAAGTGCCATTTCAGATGTTTAACATGTATTAAAAGTCTTAATCCCACAACAGCTCTATGAGGTAGATACACTTATTATCTCATGAGGAATATGGGAAGCTGATCACCAGAGAGGCGACGTAACTTGCCAGGGTGGGAGAACAGTGATTTGAGAGCAGGCAATCTGGTTGTGGAATCCATGGGGTTTTTGTAAATTTCCTTCTTAACTGACAAATAATAATTGTAGATATTATATTCTTATGGGGTACGATGTGATCCTTTCATATAGGTTTATGTCGTGGAATGATCAAACCAAACTAACAAATCTATCACCTGGCATATTTATATTTGTGTGTGTGTATGGTGAAAACATTTAAAATCTACTCTTGTAGTATTTTTTAAATACACATTCTTAGCCGTGATGCTGTACTGCTTCTCAGTACAGGGATACACAGTAAAGTATCTGAATCATCCATGAGTCAAGATATGGCCTAATCCATCTACAGATATTGAAAATGTTATCGGTTGTGCAGTTACTTTGAGGCAAAAGTATAAATTAATGCTGACTCAAATATTTGGTTAAAATTCCTTCTTGGCTTTGTATTATAGAGCAAGACAGGCATAAATGGAGGTGTCAGGAGAGCAGCTGTAGTTTTAATCAGTGGCCTTCAATAAATACGTGCTCATTACTTATTTAATTGCACCTGTAACTACACGAGGGCCTCGCTGCTGAGAGTGTAATAGGTGAGCGGAATTCACAACAGTCTGAAGCCACGCGCACCTCTCTGCCAAGAAGTGTCGTCTGTGGGTTTCGTTAACCAATGTCCTAAAATATACGACCTTTTCCAGGTCCCGGGGGAGTGGCTTTAACTGCAACGCGTGTGTGTTTATTTTCCTCCTAAGGCTTTAACAACACCGAGCGAACATGTGATAAAGAGTTTATCATACGGAGAACGGCTACCAACCGAGTACTGAACGTCCTCCGTCACTGGGTCTCAAAGCACGCACAGGTATGTCAGTGCCCTCATTAATTACTTACAAGGATTTTTTAAAAATCATCTTTTTAAGCCGTGACACATGTAAAACACCTCCCGATTCTTTGGAGTTCAGTGTGAAACCTTGACACTGGAACTGAGGAAGGGAAGAAATAGGCGAGGCATGCAGATCAAAGCAGACACGTGGCTTGCCAGCATCCACTGTTTCAGATCTGCAAATGACATGACACAGTGACACGGGGCTCCCCTGTCCCCACATCTTCTGAGGAAACAGCACTCACCCATGGGCACCTGAGCCACAGCAAGGCCACTGTCCTGTGCCACCTACCCTGGGAGCACCTTTCACAGGGTCTTCTCTGTAAGTGGAGTTATGCTTGAGAGGCTGCCAGCTGCAGTGGTATCCCCGCCCCGCACCCAACTAGACGCAAACCTCACGGTGCCCCCTGGAAGTAAATAACACTCTGGGATCTGGTCAGGGAGTGCTTTCTGGGCCTGATTCTGGAGATATTTTGCCTCATACCCTTTGATGTTTTGGTTCCCAATGCTGTTTTTAAATTGTGTTACACTGACAGGACACCCACTTGTTATCTGTTTATGTGTTCTCAGTGCACGTTTGTAGAATTTATTCCCCTTTCACAAAACAAGTCAGGTGCCACTTTGCCCCCCTGATGTGATGCATGCATAATGCTTTTCTTACCCACTGCCACATACCAGGCAGGTCCTCCTGGACACCCACCTGCCTGGCACCCTGCAAGGAGCGTTTGAGAGAGAGAATGGGCCCTGCCTCACAGCAGAACATGTGCGGCATACATTAAAAGAAATATAATCAAAGTTGTCAGTCCGCTAATGAGAATCATGTGTTATAAATGACACTCCCAGGGGGAGGTATTCCCAGGTCTTTATTATTAGGTTGGTGCCAAAGTAATTGCAGTTTTTGCCACTATATTCACAGAGGCCATCACGTGTCTGCTGCATGGTCCTCAGTAATGACAGTCCATTCAATAGGGTCACCATGAGGGCAGGCTCCTGAAACCTCCGTGGTAAGATAATTTACTAATTAGGAAAAGTGGCATTTAAACCTCACCACAAGTAAGCCCATAAAAAATCTTAAATATTAATTAAAATAAAGTAATAAACATAGCATACTAAATAATGTAAACATTCCGTCTTACACATCTTAAATTTAAAAAAATTTAATCCTATATGATTCAAATTCCAAGAACCATCCTTAGCACATGAGAAATGTCTAGTCTCTTTTCCCCGTAGTCTCAGTGAGCTGCTGGTAAATCCATTTTGCCTCAATGCAGATAAAACAGTATAATGAGTTTTAGTATTTACAATTTTTCCACTGTATCATGGTCCATCTTATTCTTCTCTGATTTTTTTCTCAAGAATTTTGACATTTAATTCCTGGGGCCCACAGTGGTTTCTAAGATGCAAAGTAGCTTCGATCAACAAGGCTGAGCTGGTTCTCTCCCCTGGCCTCAGCTCCCCTCCTCCCTTCCAAATCTTCTCCCCAGAGCCCTGCAGCCTTGCTTCCCTATCCACCTTACTTCCCTTTTCTCAATCCCCCGTGCCCTCTTTTTCTAATTATCTCAAACAGGAATCCCTCCCAATCCACATATAATTTTTACAGTAGCTACAAAAGTACCACAAAGCAAATGGCAGTATGCTGGGAGTTTTTTATTTTTGGTAAAGAAAATTCATAGATGGGGAGAGATTAGTGTACAGAAGCCCTCGTTTATAATAGTTTTACAGTAAGCTTTGCCACCTGATTTGGCAGCTGAATTGTTTATACAGTTCAGATGCTTTGCGACCTGAGTGACTGCAGCTGTGCCTATACATGAGCAAGCTTGTCCATCTCCAGTTCCAGTTAGAGGGATCCCAGCTCCTCAGGCTCTCCCTCCAGCAGGGGCATAGGTGAGTGATGTAAGTAGCTCAGGGATCCAGTCTTCTCTTCTGACCTCACCACTGGGTAAAATACAAACCCTGGCTATTTCGTTCACTGATGTGCCCAAGGAAGTTCTTCCCACAGGGTCTTTCCTTACCTTCCCTGCATGCGTGAGTGGGCCTCACGGCTTAATGGCGGGCTATCAATGCCCTGGTGTAACCTCGTCATGTGCATCTCCTGTCACCTTCCTCATCCTCTCTGTATAAGTACACAACCATGTGCAGGACATTTCTGTGAAATTTCCACTTATTGAGAATTGTTTTAGGGCATTTTTTTTTTCTTTCTTGCTGGCTAGAGCGTCCAGATTCCCTTTCTTCCTTTTACTGACTCACTTGTGGCTGCCTGGTAATCATCTGGCCTCCACATTGGACGGTTTGTGCAAGTCAAGGCAGGCTGTTGGTGATGGATTGGTGAATGGTTCAAATAGAGCTGCTCTCAGCTCACGGTCTCGGGGCCTCATTGTGTGCGTACTGCCTCCTCTCACCAACTGTGGGCCTAGCCTGGGCCATTTCATTCAGAAGATGTGAAGGTGGCCCTGGCTTCATGGAGCTTAAGCAAGCTGACTGTTATGGTGCTTTAAGAGTAACAGCCCATCTTGGTATCTTTATCCAAGTTTATCTGCAGGTCTTTACTCTCCCAAGGCAGCATCTAGCTATAGATGGGACTGCTGGTCTGAAAACCTGGGCCATAATCCAACTGTCAACCAACCCTCACCCTCGTTGTCTTTGGTTTTCACCTCACAAAGTGAAGGGCTTGGATAAGATGATTTGTAATTATCTGATTCACTTTGTACTAGCTGAGTCCATTTAAGGGAGAATATAGCATTATTGTGGCAACCTGATTATTTTGAATCAGTAGCTTTTAAAAAATGAGTAGGAAGTTGTACTCATCTCAAAACTACAGCTAAGCATGGTAACAATTACATTTTTTCTCACACGGCTACCCAGAGAGGCCACTTCGATTTCTAGACACAGAAAAGCTGTAGATCTACATCAACCAAGCTGTAGATTCACCCACAAATAATCTAGAGAATCAAGGCTACCACAGAGTATTAGACATCATGTATTTATTTCTCATTTCTCATCAAAGGTAACTAATATTGGCAGATACTACCCTGACCTTTGTTCAGGAGAATTAAAGGTTGCAGAAGTATGGGGGTAGGGGTTTGTTCTCCAGAGAAATAAGAATGCCCCAGGATGTCACCTCCTAACTCTACCCCGGGTGGTGCTAGGATAGCATTTCTTCTCCTGGAGGCTTCTAGTTTTTTCTTTAGTTAATATTTGGAGAGGCTAGGATGTTCCATTTTTAGGGGGTTTTAAAAATCTTCATATGTGAATACCTTCTGGCCTATTGCTCCTCATTTTGTTACACCTTCTCACTCATTTGTTGCCTTTTAAGCTGAAAGTGAAGCCACAGGCCCAAGTTCGATTTCTCCCACGTGCCTTGTCTATCCATCAGCAGAGGGAGCAGCAGCCCAGAGTCAGGGGACCAGTGTTGTTACTCCAGCTCTGCCACTGTAGCCCCTGTGGGGCCCCAAGCTGGTCTCTCTACCTCTTCGGGTGTTAGTTTCCTCTTCTGAAAATGAGAACAACCATCCCTGCTTTACCTCTCCCAAGGATGTGATGAAGTTAAAGATGATGTTGAATTAAGCCTAAAGCATGATATTGATGTGTGTGATTAAATCCCTTTCAGCCGTGGACAGGAGAGATGCACATTTCACCACCCTACAACCAGCCTGTAAGCTCCTTGCTTGTCTCATTCATCTTTGTGTCTCCTTTCACATAGTTCTGTAATGCTGAACACATGGCAGATGCCCAGTAAATACTTGTCAAATTGAGCTTATAGTTCAATGTTTCCATTGTTCATTCTCTCCTGGAGGTCATTTTCTAGCCTTTAAAGTTTCCAAAGTCAGCCCAGACGAGACTATAACCACTGATGGGTCAGAAATCAGGGCTGTGTGTTTAGGCAGTCTAAGTAAGGGAAGTGTTTTCATTAGAGGTCTACATGCGTCTTGAGCATCTCCTGCTGGGAGACCTTACATATCATTTACACAATTCCCAGGTCCCTGCAGGTGTCAGATCTGTAGTACTATTAACCAAATGCTCCCATGATTGCTTTTGTCCTCTGTGCACAGACAGATGGCTGGGGTCTGACTATAGACGTTTCAGATCTCTGCACAAGCCTCTGTAGAAGGCCTTTCATGTATGATCTATGGCAATTTTGGTTTTCCTCAATTATCATATTGACCAACCAATTCTGAAGAGATGCTCTGTCCATTTATTGGAGGAATTTCACAGACCATGAGCGATGCTGGTAAAAGAGCCGCAGCTGTGTCTGCAGGTTACCACTAGCTCCATCAGGCTCTGGGTCCTGTCTGAATGACAAGTGGCCGAGAATGAAACAGTCATGTATTTTCTTAATTGTAGGCTTAGGGGAATGTTTTTAAAACATGAGATCAGACAAAAATGACCTACCTACATAAAAATCTCCTCCCCAAAGGAGTTTACAGAGGAACACTGCTACTCCTTTTTCTGTTTTCTCACCTCCTTGATTCATTCACTAATAAGAATTGGGCACCAGAATGTTCCAGACATTGGGATAGGTGTGGGCGTGAACAAGATCCATGCAGTCTCTGACCTCAAGGGGCCTTCAGCCGTTGGGAAAAGCCACTGGGAAAATACCCACTAACAGTCAATGGACTTAACATAATTACATGTGTGGCCGGCTGTTAAACTGAATTCTTCAGGTTGTTTCTGACATTCAGGCAGAGGACCAAAGGCACAGGAGCAGGTACAATAGGTAGCAGCAACAGCCTGCATGGCCTTAATGGAGTGGCTAGGCCACCTAAGCAAAACCAGCTAAGAGCTCGTGAAATCAATCCTGCTAGCAGTTGTGATCACTCACCTGTGGGAAGTTGAGGCAGGGGAGGTCAAGGAGAGGGTAATTTCCAGAGACAGCCATCTGTGTAAGTTCTCTACCACCATGGGGAAGGCAGGGAGATGCCTCCTTTTCACTTCCAGCCACATGAGAAATGTTTCAAGGAAACCACCCAGCTAGCCTCTCC